GGCCCAGCCCAGGCCTCCGTCAGAATGGGACAGGAAGAGGCCCAGAAGACCCGGCTAACACCACAGCTCAGCTGCCAGGGGAAGGGCTGGGCACCATGACAGCCACACCAGGGGACAACGCTGGCTCATGAGTGTCCACCCCCCTAGGGTCCAGCTAACAAGAACTGCCCTGACAAATGTGCCAGGAGGCAAGGTCATCCCTGCGGAGAGCATCCACAGAAAAAGTCCTCAAAGTCAAGAAAAAGGCCAAAACGCAAGCCATGAGCAGAAGATTTCATAAGCAAAGGAAGGAGAAAGATGCTAAACCCCAGGGAAAGATGCCAACCCTCATTAATGACCAGGAAAATGCAAATTCACAGCCCTTGGCCTTTTAGACGGCCTGTAAGCAGGCACTGCCACTCGGGAAAACTGTTCGCCTTGACCTGTTCAGCTGAGCTCAGGCCCACTGCGTGACATAAGTGCGACATTAGGGTCTGGGAGACAAGGACACGGACACACGTGCTCCCAAGAGCATTTCCTTTAATAACCCCAAACCAGAAACCACCCAGAAGTTCGCCGGCAAGAGGGTGGACAGGTGGGGAAGGTGTAGTATTGCAGAATAAAACATCACACAAATGTGAAAACCAAAGACCCACCGCCACATGTGTGGCAGGGACACAACCCAGGCAGCGGCTATGAAGCTGAGGTACCTCATACCACAGGGGAGCCATGCGGGTGGGGGCATCTGTCCCGTCTGCCGCCATCTCCCAAGCATTCAGAATGCTCCCTGGCACACTGCAAGCGCTCGGGAGGATTTGCTGAGTGACTTAGTGATGCATGACAAGGGCAGCTCACAGACAGCATCTCAGGATTGGGCCAATGCACTAGTCCTTAACCTGAGAAGAGGCTGCACATCTTCAAACGTGCAGCGGTAGTATTTGTTCTTCCACCTGAACTCTGTCCTTCACAGAGTAAGAAAACAAGATTGTTGGCCACGCATGGTGGCTCACGCCTGTAATCCCACCACTTGGGAGGCTGAGGCAGGAGGATCATTGCGAGTTCGAGACCAGCCTGGGGTACACAGTGAGCTCAAGGCCAGCCTGAACAGCATAGCGAGACCCTGTCTCAAAAAGACAAAAAGAGAAAATAAGATTGTTTTAAACCATGAAAGCATTTAGGAAGAACAATAGCTGGGAGAACTCACACAGATGGAGAATCACGAAAGCACTGTGATGTTAGTGCAGAAACAGACAAATGAAAAAGAATGAGCCCACAAAGTTCAGGAAAAGGATACAGAGCCATTGTTTCTTTTCTGCAACCCAAAGAGCTGGAGAGACTGAGCTGGCTTGTTGTCTGTCTCCTGGCACCTGTGGGCAAGTGCCTCGGCCCTGCCAGCGGAGGTTGGCACCCACACCCTCCGTACAGTGCCAGCTCCTGGCAGAGGAGGCTGTGCAGGCCGCCAGAGCTCTGCCATGCTGAGAGGTTCCCGGTGAGCCCAGCTCCCGCAAGGCGCGGAACAGGTTTGCCAATCGGTGTGACTGCCAAGTACCCAAGAGGTGGGGCGCCCCCCGCTCCTGCGGCTGCCCTGGGAGAGATGAGGGGAGCCCTGGGGAGGGGAACGGAGGAGTGGGGTGAAAGCCGGAAGGACCCACGATTAGTAACTAGTCCTGTGAGTACAGCCATGTACACGTATGTCCGAAGTGTGTCTCGCCATGGTGTGAATGGATTTCCCGCCGCAGTCGCCAGTATTGCTCCTAAAACACAGAGGCAAGCTTCCCTCAGACCGCTCCTGGAGCCCTGTGAGGTGGCCAGTGGTGCAGATGCTGTCCCCACACTCGGAGCTGAGCGGCAGGCTTGGAGGGAGCGGTCCCACCACTCAGAGCAAGGAGTCCAGGGCCGGGGGTGAGGGAGATGCCCTCTTTCCCTGGCGTTTATGGCTGCTCCTTCCTGGCTGCTTTCTTCTTTTCCTTTTCTAATTAGTCTACTTTCGAGGCTTATTACTTCACTCCACTCTAGTCTCTTCCTTTAAGAAAAAAAAAAAAAAAAAAAATGCCAGTGGAAGCTCACTCAATTAATTGCACAAACCACTGACCGGATGCGCCCACTGCCTGAAAAAGATGATCTAATCTAAAGGATTTGACTGGTCTGATTTTGGGGTACACGGATGAGCTTCCACCAGCCCAGAGCCTCCAGGAATGTGTGTGTGCTCTGCGTGTGCACCGTGCACAGGTATTTACACGCACATGTACGTGTGTGTGCAGACACGTACACATGTATGCGTGCCTTCTTTTGTGGACACAAACTCATGTCTTCTGATCACATTTGAGAGGCGTCCTTGGTCCTCTGATCCCACCCTAGTCCACATGTCACCCATGAAAAACTGGCAGAATCTCCCCCGCCAGCTCCAGCCTTGGGCTGAGGGCCCAGTCCTGTGGCCACGAAGCCAGCCCCATCCCTGCCGAGCTGCAGGGGGCTTCTGCGGCTGCCTCCTGACCCAGAACCAGAAGCGGCGTGTCTGGTCTCCCGGCCTTCGGTAAGGCCCCTGGGCCCTGACCACATCCCCACTGCTGGGGTCCTGGCCGGCAGCTGTGTGCACTGCCCAAGACCCAGACCCCGGGACACACAGCCACCCACCGATGCCAACTCAGCGTGCAGAGGACTTGCAGAACGTGTGAATATTTTAAAAGGGCTCCACACAAGGCAGTGCTATGACCGGATCCCTGAGAATCAGGTTGCCAGGGTGGTTGACCAACGCCTGGCAGGGTACAAAGCGCAGGGTGACCCAGGCCCATAGCACTGTGGCTCCCGGCTGCCACAGCATTTGCTCTGTGGAGGTGCTGCCGACAACACCTGCCTTGGACTGCACTGTGCCCGGCCATGGGCAGCTCGTCCCTTTCCCCGCCAGCCCTGACCTCTGGCCTCCGACTTCTGACCTCTCTGCCAACGAGACTGTCACCTTGTGCTTATGATCCAGCACCCTCCTACCCCTGAGCAGCCTCAGGAGGAAAAACCAGGTTCATGCAAACTCCCTTTTCAAGGATCACACCCTCTAGTTTGGGGGACTTTTTCATGCTTTATGTCACTTTCCGACACCTTCAGCAATTGCTCCCATCCTGTTCCTAGTTAATGATCAGCAGGAAGGTGGGTAAAGAAATTCTGGAAACTGGAGGTGCTCAGCCAACTTCGCTTAGCCTGGCACGGAGGCACAAGGCGCCGTGCTGGCGAGAGCCTTCCCTCCCTGTCTTTTCCGCCAGCTCTCTGTTGTTCCTCCTCATTAACTAATGCTTGAAGGAAACCAGCACATCACCCAGGAGATGGGGAAGGAGAGTTCCCACAAAGTAAGCGCGGCTCTCGGAGACAGGCGAGCCCGTGCTCGGAAGCAGCAGCTCCCAATGGCCCTGAGGTGGTGACCTCTCATCTCTCCTCCTCCAGGACTGGGCGTCCCATCTCCAGGTTCCCCCGTCCCCCCTCCAGCTCTCCAGCTGTGACAGGAGTCTCAGACAGCAGCTAAATCCCCTGGCTCTTCAGACAGGCGCGTGCTCCCTCAGAGCCCCGCTGTGCGCTGTGTGGCCTTCATCTCAGCCTCTGTTCCTACGCTGCGGATCAGAGACCCAGCAAACAGTGGAGAGGGTGCCACGGCCCTGCATACGATGAACAGGTACAAACAGGTGCAGATCCGGCCAAAGAGGGCACCACCTCACGCCTGGGCCTCCCCATAGCTGCTCCTGGAGGCCCATTGTCATCTCCGGAAACAAGAGCAACACAGACAGAACCTAGCTTCATGCTGAAATCAGACAGCGCCCAGACAATGACACCATCACATGGAGACTGGCCCCCATCTGGCCAGGCCTCCAGGCACCAGGGATGTCTCTCTGCCACTCAGCCACTCAGAGAGGGGGCCGGCACGCCCCAGCGCAGGTGCTCTGAGCCCAGTGAGCTCCTCCCTCAGGCCCTGCAGCTGCGAAGGGGAGGCTTAAGAACAGAGAGAAAAGGAAAGCCAGGCCCTGGGGAGGCTGGGACAAACTCCTTCATCTGATGGAGTTGTCGAGAAAGATACAAATGCTAAGGAAGGGCCACGTGGCTGAACCGCGTGTTGCCTCCAGAGAAGGTGTGAGGCCACAGAGGGCAGGCAGTTTAGGGCAAGGATACGGCCGTCCCTTACCCTGCGTGACAACTGCATGCCCGTTATTGCTGCCTGGAGCTCAGCTGTCTTGACTTTTGGTCTCCACACCCCCTGCAAGGCATGGTACACAGGTCGGAAGTGAGATGCCTCTGCCCACGGCCCAGAGCAGCTGGCCTCGTGTTCCCGCTGGACCTTTGCTGGCTCGTCCCCATCCGAGTGGCCTCTCAAGCATGCGAACCCCAAAGCACCATCCAGGTGCAGTTTCTGGCTCTCAGACATCACACACAAAGGGAGCCTGACAGCAGCTTCTTCGACACGGCGACCACGGCCTGAGGTCCACTGCTGCTCAGACCCCAGCACATTTGCCCACACGGGCTGGCCCCTCCCTACTTGGGATGCGACATCCAGCTCAGGTCAGCCCAGAAGCAGCCCCGGCCTCTGAGGAACAGCTGCCCAACTGCATACCCACTTTGTGGGCAAGGAGACCAGCAGGGAAGTGGCTTCTCTTAGCTTTTCCAGCCAGCCTCAGAAAACTAGAGAACGTAGCGAAATAATTCCCCCTTTAGAAGCCACATTGTGGAGCCCTCTGTCTTAGTGCCACAGCCCCCCTAATTGGCCAGGCAACCTCCTCACCCGCTCCCCAGTCAGCCGCCCCTCCACCACGTGTGTGCCTGTTTGCCAGAAAGCTCCAACTGTATTCGCATGTTTTCCATCTAATTTAGCCTGCTCACAATGAGAGCAGGTGTAACTCCGGCAGGCAACTTGAGCTGTCAGCCAGGCCTGGCGGGCAGCCCAGGGACCCACTTAAAGGCCTCTGTCGCTGGGAGTTGGCATGATCATTCTGCAAGCCCAGCCCGCACACGCGGGTGAGGGCTGCCCCTTTTCCACCTCCACTCACCTGGTACAGAGCACCAGGGACCTCCAGGGAAATGCAAGTTGTACCCAGGGATGGCCTCTATCCTCTTTGACCTCAGAGCCTGGTACCCAGATGCCACCACTAGCCCAGGGCAGCTGCTGGGAAGGCCTCGAGCGCAGTCACAAGCTCCCCAACACCATTTGGCGTCCTGCACTCACCAAGGTCAGCTCTGAGGGAGGCTAACCTACAAGTAGAGAGCCAGGCAGAGGCCATAGGGAACTAGCACTGCCCTCCACAGGCCTGGTGGTGGATGGCCACAGCCGTGCTCACGTGACACTGCGTTTAACCTGCATGGCATCGTCCAGGCTGTAGGGGCTGTGGGCATCAGAACCAGCTGTATCTGTGGTTCCTCACCACCCTAGATCCACCACAGCCCCTGTCCCACTCCATCCCCACTGCCAGAGCAGACAGCAGCCCCGGGCCTGCCTGTCCCCAGCCCAGGAGGCCCACACCTCCCTCATTTGCATATCTCACGAGAGAAAAGCCAGCCGCCCTGGCTGACACAGCTGAGGACGACCGTTGTGTATCACAGTCGGTGACCAGCTGCCAAGCGATAGGGCCTGCCCTGTCAGCCCCTAAATAAGGCCTCCCAGTTGGCTCCCAGAGGGCTGGCAAGGGTTGGGCACTGGGCACCCAAAAGCCTAGAGATGCAGGTCATGTCCCTGCAAGACCACGGGCGGGGGCTCAGCACCCATCCCCACACCCACGCTTGGGGCACACTCAGCTCACTCTCACATGCCTACGTTCACGTGCACACTTACACACAGCCCATGCACACACTCACACACTAGTGGACACGGTCACACTCACTACTTTGCACACACACAGAGCGTACAGCTGGTCTCCACCTTGGCCCTGGGTGATGCAAAGCTCCCAGAGGACGGCAGGCTGGGCCCCACAGGACAGCAGGGCGGGGTGCAACCGGCATACCTGCGAACGGCAGGGCATTCTGTCCACGCCACAGCTCAGCCGGCCTGCCAGGCTGTGGGAATTTCCGTGCGCTGCCCCTGCCCCAGGTCTCCAGGCAGCACCCTGAAGCCAGCGCCACCTGCCCTGTACCGCCCCGGGTCAGGCCATGAGACACAGTGCCCCCTGGACCCTGCTGTCTCCCCACTCTCTGCCTCTGACCCCAGTCTCAGGCTTACCTTGGTCCCACCCTAGCACACACACACCACAGAGTTACACACACCCACACACACACGTGCACACGCAGAGTCACAGAAATACATTCACACCAGCACACGGAGATCAGAGAAACACATGCCTCACACAGATACACAGACACATGCACGCACCCGGACACACCACACCCAGGCACACAAGTGCGTTTACCCCCAAACACAGGCAGAGGCGCACACACGCTCACACGGGCCAATGTGCTGGGACTGATGTCTGCACACATGTCCTTCCTGGCATGCATGCTGGCACGCGTGTTTGTGGAGGTGCAAACACCCATGTGTGTGGACACACAAGTGTGCACTGAGATAGATGCTCACAGATGCGTGCACACAGTCCGTGTGCATGTGCACACACACTCGGGATGCCCTTCCAGCAGCGCCTTCCTACTAACTGTTGTACTGCCCATGGCCTGTGGGTCTCTTCTGTCCCCTCCTTTGTTGACCCGAATGCTGGCCTGTGACAACTCTGCTGAGTGACAATCAGCACAGATTTGGTGGCCGCGGCCGATGGCTTCCCTGCCTCCTCCTCTTCCTTTGTAGCACACACACCCAAGTGTGCCCATGTGTGCCGTCACCACCTGAGTTGTGCAGGGGTTGAGGGGGCGGGGCACAGAGGAGGGGACCCCCCCCCGCCGCTCTAGCTCTTGGACCCTGTGTGTCTTGCAGGGACACGGGGACGAGGTGCACAAGGAAAAATAAGGCCACGGACGCTCTGGCGATGCACCCTGTGGCAGGTGACAGCACCGTGAGCCCCGGAGCCCAAGCCTGGTCCCAGAACCTCCCACTGCCTGCCTGGCTCCCCTTTCTTCCTGGCCCGGTCACTATTGGCCTGCTGAGGTCCACGTGGCCAGCCCCCAATCCTATGACTGAGAGTGGGAGGCCCAGAGGTCTAGGCCACTCGCCTTGTGAAGCAGGGGGAAGAAGGGTGGAGTCACCCACCTTTGAACTGGAGACATTCACCGGTGTCACGGTGACATTCAGCGACACACTGAGTCACAGCGTGGGCACCGAGGAGCTCCAGATGTGGTAGGGAGGGCCCCTTCCTCAGGCCATGACCCTACCTAGGAGGGGACAGAGTAGAACAGGGGACAAGGTGCCCACAGATCAAGGGGGAGCCTGGGGCTGCTAGATACTGGGAAGCTGGGACGCGGGACTTCGGCCGGGGCTGGCGCCACCATCACAGCGACAGGCCGGGAGGCCACACACGCCTCCCCGCCCCCACTCCCCGCCAGGTTGCACGATTCCTGGCTGGGCTCCAGCACCTGGCGCTCCCGCCCCGCACACCCCACACCCACCTCCTTGCGTCAACCCCAGCTCTGCTGGCGCTGCCACCTGCACAGCCTGCGGTGAGAGGGCTGACATCAACACGAGCGGCATGACCTGGGTGTCCCCGGAGCAGGTCGCCAGCACTGGAGAGTCCACTGCTTGGCCACTACAGCATGTCTCCTAACCCCATGGCGGGACCCAGCAAAGTCAAGTCCACCCCAGCTCCAGGTCCTCCCTCCCCTGCCTTCCCTGACTTGTCCTGCCTCAGCCTCCATTTACTGGAGTGTGAAGTGGCCAAGCGCCACCTTTACCACCCTGCCTCTCCTGCTGTCTGAGGTTAGAGTCGGGCCTCAGAGCTCGGACTCTCGGACCCACCAGCGTTCCTCCCGCTCCATCAGGCACTGCCTCCTCCTGGGCCCCACGGGCCACACACGGTCGCTTTGAAGATGCCCAGCCAGGCCCAGCTGGCTGCCCTGTGACCTGGCCAGCCCACAGAGGTCCACACCCTGGGTGTCACAGCCCCGAAGGGTCGCAGAGCACGAGATGGGGAGCACATGGCTTGGAGAGTTTCGCTGAATTTTGGACACTGAAATTCAGTAAATTCTTTGCTTTTGATTGGTCACTTTCCATTGTGCAGGTTCCTCCCCTTTTGAAGCCTTCTCCCCTGCCGCACAGGCTCTTTCCGGGATCCTGGGGAGGGTCGGCCTCCGCCTTCCTGCAGACACTGACCTTGCGGTTGGCTGGAGGTCACCACAGCCGGGACGTGGCCCAGACCCAGCTCTCTAAGGGGGTGTGGCCCGGCCCAGCGTCGCTGGCTGGCAGCTGCACAGTGACAGAGGACTGGGAGAGAGGTGTGGGCCAGATACCCGCTCCTGGCTGCGCCACTGCCCGGTTGGTGACACCCCAGAGCCTGATGCAGACCATGGGAGCCGCCAGGCAGGTCCGCGGGAAGACCCACGCGTGCGGGCCATCACGGGTGTCTGCGGTAGATCAGGCCAGCTGAGGACTGGCGGAGACGGACCAGGTCCTCAAGGTCGGATGAGGCGTAGAGAGTACTTGGGTCGGGAAGAACTGGACAGCCCCATGAAGGGGCACGCACCCCGCACTCGGGCCTCCCGGTACCTGGGCTGGCTCTGTCGAGGCGCCGTGCTGGCTGAGGGCATCAAGGACGCGTCTGCTGGTGTGAGGTCCCTCCCGGTGTGTGGCCATACTAGAGGCCAAGACGGGTCCCACCACCCCCTAGTGAGGAATGCTCTGAGAGGTCAGCATCAGCCCCATTCATAGATGTGCAAACCGAGGCAGCACGCCCAAAGCTCCAACTTGAGACTTTGCCCAGATCTCTGAAGGCCACTACAAGCTCCTCCACCCCAGCAGGAACCCCGCTTTCCTATTTCCTCCCATCTGCACAGCAGGGACCTCTCTTCATCCCGGCCCCCACCTCTCCTCCCAAAGGACAACAGCACAGACTGACCCAGCCACCAAATGCCCACCGTGCCCTGGAAGACAGAGGTCACAGACATGGGGCCGGGACCCGCACAGGGAGCCCCTGGCATAGCTGTGGGGTCACCTGCTGGGCACCAAGGAGAAGCAGGAAGTGCACTGGCCATGGTGTGGCCACACACCCCAAGGCAGGAAGGCCACCAAAACCACACCTTCCACGCTTCCCCCTCAGGACTCCCTCCACCAGGCCAGAGGAGAGCGGAGCCCCGCACACCCAGGAAGCTGAGACCCGGCCCAGAAGGACACGGCCCACCCAGGAGGGCCTGGGGACAGCGAGACTGCGGGTCAGGCTCCTCTGCACACTCGTCCCCCTGGAGGGATCCACTGTGGCCAGGGGCAGGGAGGGAAGGCCAGGCCCTGGAGCTGTCTCCGCACGGGGAAGGGTGTGAGCCGCCCTGTGTTCCCTCCCAGAATCCTCCCAGGCTGGCTGCGCACCCTGCCAGGATCACAGTTGCAGGGAGGAGCTCCAGGAGGCCGAGGGCAGGAGTGCCCAGCGAGTCCACCCCGGTGCCCCAGCCCTCCTGCAGGCACAGAGCAGCACCTGGGGCCTCGCTGGCCCCCTCCCCACCCCACACGGCACCCACAGTCTCAGGTCACCCAGTGACTCATGGTGCTACTACCCACAGTCAAGGGAGGGAGGCAGAGGCAGAGGCAGGTGGAGCCTTGGGTGAGAAGGACAAGGAGGCTCCAGGAAAGAAGAGGACAGCGGCCCTGACCTCCCACCAACCGGAGGCTCCCAGGCCTCCCCACCTCCACCAGCAAGCCGGGTCTTCCTGAGTCCCAGCCTCACCCAAGCCGCAACAGCATCCCCAAAGCTGCTGTACCCGGTGGGGGCCCGCAATCCCCAGCCCAAAGGGGTCACCCCATCCCTGTCGTCTCTGCATGCACACCCCTGGGCATCTCCTGAGATGTACTGGCCATTGTCCTATGGGTGTATGTGCCCAACAGGGACACCTCCGCCTCCACCATCACCCCCTGGCTGCCCTACCCTGGGCCAGGGGCCTCCTTTGCATGTGGCCAGGTTTGAGGTCCCACAGTCCCGAGGGTCCAGGGCGGACACTTACTGCCTCTACCCACTCCCGGGAGCCGGGCCATCCCGCGTCTGCGTAGCCGCCTCTGTGTTCCCCTCCTGTACGGACTCCGTCACAGGACCAGGGCTCGTCAGACCCAGGGCTAGGATACCTCACCTGGACCCTCCGTTATCAGCCGGAGCTTCCACCTATGCGGGTATTTCCAGGTTCCTGGGTTTAGAATTTTAGAATCTTTTCGGGGACACTGGACCTCCAGTGGAATGGAGGCCTCCATCCCCAGGAGGCCTCCATTTTGGGTCTGAGGTGACCACATCCAGGCCCAGGCCAGCTGCGGCCTCGAGAGTCTGTTAATAGATGACTCATTGACGGATTCTGGGCACCGGGTCACGGTGGGCGGGCATGATGGGTCACCATGGAAATGTCAGAACATCAGCACAGCCTTGGCCCTGGGGGTGCAGGCTGGCCCTGAAGGTCACAGTGGACAAGGTCGTGCCCAGCTCTTAAAGGGCCTGCGGGCAGCAGGGGGCCTTTCCCCATGCGTGCATCCTGAGCCTCCCTTCTATGGAAAAGTCAGTACATCACAGAATTTTCTCACAAAGGACGCCAGGAAGTGTGCCCCACATTTCACGGGCAGAGGTATCTGGCCCCATCTTGGCCAGTTCAACCCCAGGAGCTGCGAGAGAGGAACACACACAACGGTGTACATGTCCCCAAAGACGGGGACACAGGGTGACTCAGGATGACAGTGACACTTGGGTGAGGTCTCGTGTCCCCGAAAAGATTCTAAAATTCTAACCCCAGAAACCTGGAAATACCCGCATAGGTGGAAGCTCCGGCTGATAACGGAGGGTCCAGGCGAGGTATCCTGGGTCTGGTGAGCCCTGGTCCTGTGACGGAGTCCGTACAGGAGGAGGAGCACACAGGCGGCTACACAAACGTGGGATGGCCGGGCTCCCAGGAGTGGGTAGAGGCAGTAAGTGTCCGCCCTGGACCCTCGGGCAATGAGGCACCGCAGATGCCTTGCTTTTCAACTTCCCACCTCTGAATGAATTTCTGCTGTTTTTATTTTTATTTACTTAGTTGTCATTTTGAGGCAGGATCTCGTTATGCAGTTCAGGCTGGCCTTGAGCTCACTTTGTAGCCCAGGCTGGTCTCAAACTCACAACCATCCTCCTGTCTTAGCCTCCTGAGTGCTGGGATTGCAGGCGTGGGCTATCATGCCAGGCCTACTCTGCTGCTTTTATGCCATCAGCTCATGGTGACTGTCATGGCAGCTCTAGGACACACATGGGTCACCTGAGGACCTGGACTGACTCCCCACAGAATCACACTTCCCAGCAGGCAAGCGCGGGGCAGACCGTGACCGTGAGGTGGGACTGGGGAAGAAGGGCTGGGCACACAGTTGGCGCTGCACCCCAAAGCCCCCAGCACTCAGCAGAACAAGTCACCCCAGCCCCTTGCTGAGAACCGTGCTCTTCTCAGCACCACCTGCAATCTGCCTGTGGCCAAAGGTCTCAGAGATCCTTTGACCACGGACAGAATTTGGGGTCTCCTGTCTTCCCTCCTGGCCCCCCAGATCCGATATGCCCTCCCCTGATGGTGTCCCTGTCTCCCTTGAGAATTGTCACACCCAGCCTGAGACACCCGCCAGGCCAGCCCCGTCCAGAGAGCCTGCGCGGGTCCTGGCGGCTGAGCGTCCAGCCACACTGATAACCGATTTCCCGGTCCTGCAGGGTAACAGCAAGGGGCTCACAGGCTCAGGCACAAGACAGCGAGCCAGAACCTGCTTCTCAACACTTTGCCTTCCCAGTGACCTTGAGGTGCCCTTGAGCATGAGGCAGAGCTTTTCCCCAAAGGTGGAGCAATGCCAATAACATGTGATTGTGTGATTGTACATTTCAAGTTCAAGTACAAATGACACAGAGAAAAGCTGGAGAAATGTCAGGCTGGCCACAGAGCCCAGAGGTTGGCAGTGACCACTATAGAGGGTGTCTGGGTCGTGCACATGTACGTGTGTGTATGCATGTGCTGGTTGTGCATGTGTGCTGCGTGTGCATGGGTATAGGTGTGTGGGCACACACCTTCCCTTCTGTCCCTTCCAATGATAAGAGTCTGCACACACAGGTTTGGGCTTCCCTGCCTCTGTCTCCTGAAAACCTGATCTCTTGGGAGCCCCCCAAAAGACAGTCTGAACTCTAAACCCCAGAACCTAGCAATGCACCCTTCTGTGGAAAGTCTTTGCTGGTGAGGAAGGGTCCAGGCAAATCTTCTGGGACTGATCCCCCAGCTCCCGGATGTCAACCAGCAGGACCAGACCCTGGCAGCTGACACCCACGAGACCTTGTGCCAAACCAGCCCCAACCCAGCCGCAGCGGGGTCAGGGCTCCCCTTCCCAAGTATAGCTGCTAAGGCCAGGGAGTGTGCCGGGGGCAGAGAGCAGGCTGCCAGCCCACAGGGCAGAGCCCTGTCCCCAGCCGGTGGCCTTTCCTGCTGGGCCCAGAGCCCGTGGCACTCGTGCGCCAGGCCCTGCTGGCAGCCACACACAGCCCTGGCCTCAGGACATCCAGCCTGTGGCCAACACCTGTGTCCACCAGGCTGCCCACCAGCACCTTCCCTGCCCCACATCACTCAGGCCATTGTGGCTGTGGGCAGGAGGGAGGCCAGCGCCCTCCTAGGAAGAGCCGGAGCTGCCAGGCAGGAGCCCCGCCAGAGCTGCTGGCCCACACAGTACCAGGCGGCCCACCCACCCCGACTTCTTTCCAGCCGCTCTCACAGACAGCAAACAAAAGCAAAGCACAATATCGCAAGGAAGCGCCGCAGGCTCTGCACACAGCTCTGGCTCCCGGCTCCCAGCTCCCTCCTGGACACAGCTCAGGGGTCAAGGCAGGCCTCCTGGCTCCGCACTACACAGCCTCGAGGCCCTCAGAGCCAGACCTCTTCGGGTGTTTCTGCGCAGGTTCCTTTCCCCACACAGTGAAGGTGACCTTTAAGGCTGATGCTCCAGTCTCCTCTGGGCCGAGGTCTGGGAGCAGAAGCAAGGCCTCTGCTGCCACCTGATGGTCAATGGGAAGAAGGACAGCTGGTGTGGAAGCCTTCCCTTAAAGGGTGCAGATGGCTCTCAGCAGGGCCTCAGAGGGGCTTCCCACGGTCACACAGCAAGTCACAGAACAGGGCCAGCACCTGCCTTCCTCAGAGCTCCGGCTCACAGGTTCCACGTGATGCCTAGGGCTGGAGTCCTGGCTGTGAGGTGGACTTGGGGGGACACCAGGCAAATGACTCAATTTCTATCCCAGATCTCCCCTAACAACAGAACCTGGGTCAGGCTGCTGTGAAGGTTACAAGGCCGCTGTGGTCAGGCCAGAGCCCAGTACCCCACAGGCGATCCGTTAATGCTTCTCCGCTGCTGCTGCTGCTGCTGATGATGATGATGATGAAGAAGACAAGGATGGTGATGGTGACAGTGACCGTGGTCTGTGAAGTCGCTGGTGGTGAGGGCAATGATGATGTCGGGATCGCAGGAGGGGCCTGGCTAATTCTTGCTCTTGCACCACACAGCCTCAAGAGGCAGGGATCACCTGGAGAGACCCTAGGACACTCTGGTCCCTGGACGCCATTTCTCCAGGCCTGGCTCAGGCCCCAAAGTACCATAGCTGGTTCTCTGGGCCCAGTTCTCATCCTTCCCTAGACAGTGGGGTGTTCCAGAACACACATGAGGTGTCCCAGAATGCCCAGCCAGGTGTCCTAGAATGCATAGCAGGGTGTTCCAGAATGCACACGGGGTGTCCCAGAATGCACAACCAGGTGTCCCAGAATGCACAGCCAGGTGTCCCAGAATGCACATCAGGGTGTTCCAGAATACACACAGGGTGCTCCAGAATGCACAACCAGGTGTCCCAGAATGCATAGCAGGGTGTTCCAGAATGCACACGGGGTATCCCAGAATGCACAACCAGGTGTCCCAGAATGCACATGGGGTGTCCCAGAATGCACAGCAGGGTGTTCCAGAATACACACGGGGTGCTCCAGAATGCACAACCAGGTGTCCCAGAATGCACAGCCAGGTGTCCCAGAATGCACATCAGGGTGTTCCAGAATACACACGGGGTGCTCCAGAATGCACAACCAGGTGTCCTAGAATGCATAGTGGGGTGTCCCAGAATGCATAGCAGGGCATTCCAGAATGCACATGGGGTGTCCCAGAATGCACAACCAGGTGTCCCAGAATGCACAGCCAGGTGTCCCAGAATGCATATGGGGTGTCCTAGGACACACAGTGGGGTGTTCCAGAATGTACCATGGAGTGTCCCAGAATGCACACGGGGTGTCCCAGAATCTGCAGCAGGCTCTCACTTCCAGGGACTGGGGGATGGGGTCTCTTTGCCCTAAACACATCCCAGAAGTGAGGGACAGGTCAGAAAGCAGGTGCACTTGACCACAGCACCCCAGAGCCCAGCCAAGCAACTGGCATGGAGGGAGACACTCTCAGGAGACGAGGTGGGGGGTAGCAGCCCAGGTGATGCGTGGAGGCCGGGCACCGGTAAGCACAGGGGGGCAGACAGCCCCAAGGCACAGCAGACTGTGGGACCCTCTTGATAGCCACTCAGACCCCAGGGCGCAGCAGGACAGCCGTGGCCCAAGGTGCGTCCTCTGCCTTAGTGCTTACGTGGGCACAGCCCCCTGCCACCACAGCAGCCCTGGACTCACCAGGACCCTGAGGGGTCAGAGCCATAGCTCTGCCCAGCATGGCGTCTCCTGGGCCTCACTCAGGGATGACTCTGAGGGTGCCCTGCTGTGGAGCTGCCCCCAGGGGCAGGGGCTCTGTGTCCCGGCATTAACGGGGGATGATGCTGAGCCCCAAGACTGCGGTGGGGCAACTGCCAGCTTGCTGCCTGCTGGAAACCCTGGGGCCTTGACCCCACAGTAACCGTGGTGATGGCAAAGTGACCTAGGGGCCCCGTGCAGGGAGGGCTGTCCAGATCAGACCCTCCGGTGAGGAGACGTGGGCTGCAGCCCCAGACAGGTGAGGAGGGCCCGGGCCCAGGCGGGGTCCTCTAGGATGTCTCCTGAGTCTCTGGATCCTCCACCCCAGAGTCCCAGCGTCGCAAAGCAGCGGAGCGGCCAGTCCCTGGCCTTCTGTGCACAGATGGTGTGGACGGCTGGACACAGGGGCAGGAGGGCGTGAGGCTGCCCACCTCAGGAGGCCAAGAGATGAATGTGTGAACTGCAGGGCTGATGGGCCCCTGGGAAGTGGAGGAACCTGGGGACTTGGGGGCCCGGTGAGAGGTCCCAGCAGCTCTTGGGCTGGCCTATGCTTCCCTCCACCTGAAGGCCCAGCAGAGGCCAAAGGTCCAGGCTGAGGGGCTGAGGAAGTCATCCCCCGCCACGTCCTCATGGGACATCCTCTGGGTGTCGTCCTCACGCCTCTTCCTATAAGGAGCCCAGTGCCCTTGTTTACCCTGGTCACCTCTGTAAAGTCCCTGTACAAACAGTCGGGCTGGAGCTGGGGAATCAGTATCTGATCTGGAGATGACTGTTCAGCCCTAACAAGGTCCAAGCAGGAGCTGTCGGGGACATAGGATGCTGGCACCAGGGCCACAGCTGCACCGGCTTCAACGCTGGCCAGGCTGGGGGGACCCAGTCCACTCCAGACCTGTGTCCCAGCCCCAGCCCCAGCCCCAGCCCCAGCCCCAAGATGTGGTGGCTACTCCAGAGGTCTTGGAGAAGGGGCAGAAGTCCAGGGAATTTCCCGGGGAGCTTCTCTGTGCTGGAGGCCAAGCCAGAGAGAGAGGGAAGCCTCAGGGGTGAGGTGTGTGTGTGTGTGTGTGTGTGTGTGTGTGTGTATACACATCCATGTGCACATGTAGTGCGTGGTGTGGAGGGCTGGTGTGCATGTGGGGTGTGTGGCGCTGGTCATCCAGAGGGCAGGGCCCTCTTGTTGTGCTGGGCAGTAGTACCTCTGAAATTCCCCTCTCCTTTCTCCCAGGAGGAGGACACTGCTGCCATGCTCTTGGCCCGTGCATCCCCAGAGCCCTGCAACCCCGGCCTCCCGGACCCAGGGCTCCTTCCCTGATGGAGGGCACGGGCAGGGCCCGCGTGACAGTGGCGCTGCTCCCAAGGCCCCCGCTTGGCCCCCGCCAACGGTGGTGGCCGGCTCTCCTGCGGCAGGTGGGCCCTCCCACGTCCCGACGGGAACAGCACAGAGTCTGACAGTGATTGCTTGTGCCACCTGCTCTTTATTGGCTGCCATGGCTGCATTCTCCTGGGTGACCGGAGTCCCCGAGCGGTACTACATAGAGGAAGGGTGCGGGAAGACGGAGTGAGGGAGCAGGCCGGGAGCCCCAGACCTCGCGGCAAGTGGGCGGCACGGTCAGGACATGCGGAGGGGCTGCTCGGGCCCAGGACCCATCCAGACGGCTGGCGAGGGCTATGCCTGAGCAGGCACCCCTCCTCCTCCCACCCCTGGTAGACGAGCTCTTAGCTGGAGAACCGTGTGGGGCAGTCACTCCCACGCCCCGGCCGGTGTTGGGCCCGGGGCAGCCCAGGCCATGGCCCCACAGGACAAGGCCCCAAGGTCTCCGGGCTGCTCTCTCAAACCCTCATTCCCTCTGAGAAGGTGGAAAGGAAACAAAGAAAAGGAAAAGGAAGGAAGGCAGACGCCTTTTCTGTGGTCCCCGGGCTCAGCGGGTCGGGGCCGCAGGGGCAGCCGGGCGGGGGCCTGTTTAGGAAGAGGGTGCCGAGCTGGGCTTCTCCTCCCGCGACACGGGGATGGCGCGCTCGCTGTGGCCAGCATCCAGGCCGGACTGGACCTTGGGGCCAGAAAAGGTCAGCATGCCGTCCGCAGACAGGGAGCAGGAGAGGGCTGACTGGTCCACGTTGGAGGGCAGGCGGTAGCGGCGGTGGAACTCGCGGGAGATGTAGCCGTGGTCGTCCTGGTGTGGACCGGAGAGGGGCCGTCAGAGGCGCAGGCCGGAGAGGACTGCTGTCCCCCCAAGCGAAGGCCCGTCCCCGAGCACCAGAGGTGTCCGGCTGGGAGTGTCCCCTCAAGGGCCAGCTGGAAGGCCGGCGCTCATCCAGGGCCCCAGCCCTGCGGGGCTCAGGATAAGGTCGGCTGCAAGCCCTGGGGTGCTGGCTGGGGCAGCCCGCCGCTCCGCCCGGCCCGCCCGGCTCACCTGCCGCTCGTTGTGCTTGCCGTGGATCTCCACGAAGTCCTCCTGCACCTTCACGGTGAGGTCCTCGGGGGAGAAGTGCTTCACATCCAGGAAGATGACGAACTTGTCCCGGTCAGATCGGACCTGCAACCCAAACCTTCGTGTGGAGCTCCCAGGTGGCCGATGGCTCAGGGAGGGCGCTGCCGCGTGGCACCGCTGGGCAGGCAAGACTGCTCCGCACCCAGCTCCCCCCCGCAGAACGGACCCTGTCCCTGAGCCTGCCCCGGTGCCACAGGCCGAGGGAAGAGCACTGCAGGCTGGAACCACGCACCCGTGTCCTGTGTTGTGTCCTCTGTCCTGTGTCCCTCTGTCCTGTGTCCCTCTGTCCCTGTGTTCTGTGTCCCTCTGCCCTGTGTCCTGTGTCCTATGTCCCTGTGTCCTGGGTCCCTGGGTGGGAGGTGCTGGCTGGAGCCTGTGTGGTACCAGGTTGGCAGCTTGGCTATAAATTGGCTGGATGGTGAAGGGGCTAGCTGGCGGGTTGTGGGTTGGCTGTGGGTTGGTTGGCTCGCTAATTGAATTGGGTTGCTGGTTATAGGTTGGATGGCTGGCTGGTAAGTGAATTTGTTGACTGGTTATGGGTCAGCTTGGCGGTTTCCTTTGGCTAGCTAGTTGTTCCATGGGTTGGCTCTCTGGTGTCATGGGTTGGCTTGCTGGCTAGTGGTGGGTTGGCTAGCTGGCTGGTGATGGTTTGGCTGGCTAGTTGCTTATGGGTTGGGTATCTGACTGGCCATGAGTAGGTTAGCTGGTTGGGTGTGGGCTGGCTAGATGGCTGGTAATGGGTTAGCTAGCTTGTCGGTTTGGCCATGGGTTGACTAGCTGGTTGGTTATGGGTAGGCTACCTGGTTGGTTATAGGGTGGTACTTCCTTGTGGGTTGGCAGTTGTTTGGTTATGGTCAGGGGCCCCTTACCAGCTGGCTCCTTAGCAGCTGGCTGGCTGGCTGGGGCACAAAGCACCAGGAGATCGCTGTCCCGGCTTCCCCATGTCCCCATCAGCAGCCCCTCAACCATCTCTCCATGGCTGTGAAGCCAGGGGCAGCCCTCCAAGCCCTGTCACCCTCCGCTCCCTGCCCAAGCTCAGGGCCTTCCTCTAAGCACCTTCCTCTCTGGAGCTGGTGTCCCTGCTCAGGAGAGCCTTTGCTTTTCAGGCAGTGGTGACAGTCGGCTGCCCCAGAGCTGGGACCTGGCCCTGTCACTGCAGCTCAGGGTAGGGGCCTCATGGCCTCCCCTTGCCCTTGGCTGGGGCTCCCGGGCGAGCTGGGCAGAACCCACTGCCTCTACAGCACTGCTGGCTGTGCTGCGTAGACAGGAAGCCCCTCCTGTCTGGATGTCAGGGCAGTGAACCCCTCCCGCACCAGAAGAGAAAATCCGGGGAGCAGCGAGCCCCAAGAGCTCGCCTTGCCATCGACTTGCCTTGGCGGGGTTGTTCTTGGGGTTTCCAGCATGTGGTTGGTGCATTACAAACCACATATGGGTCATGAGCTGATGGAGGAAAAGACAGCGGTCGGGCTCGGGCCTGCGTCCTCCTCCGACCCCCCGGCGGAACAGGAGGCCCCCGCTCGGCCTCTGAAGATCACCAGCTCCGGGGAGCAAGACGCAAGTGTCGGGGGCATCAGTGGCCCCGCGGGCATCCCTAGCTGTCCTCTCCCTGACCAGCCAGGAGAAGCCGGGCCGCGGCTGGGCCTTACCTCGGAGATGCCGGAGTCCAGCACGGTGCGGAAGAGAGACTGGCGGTAGTAGGGGCTGATCGTGGAGGAGAGGAAGGGCAGCAGGTCGTACTCGAAGAGGCCCTCGCCAAAGAACTGGTCGAACAGCCGGCTGGGGTAGAAGGGTCCCAGCGCGCGCTTGAACCAGGGGTGCTGGATGGTCACGTCCATGTCCGCTTCGGCTGCAGGGAACGGAGGCAGGCAATGAGTTGGCAGGGGCCCCTGGGCAGCGCAGTGGAGAGCTGGCCGCCGGCTCTCCCTATATACACCCCGGCAGAATGGGGGCATTAAGGGATTTCTCTGAAAATGCCTGAGCTCAGGAAGGAGGCTGCAGCGTCAGCAGAGCCCGGCTGGGCTGCGCACCCGCCTCCCCCAGCCTGGGGCCACCAGGAGGACAGATGTCCCCAAGGAGTTCCGTCCCCCACACTCACCCCCAGGGGCCACAGAGAGCGTCCGTGCTCGCACACTTTGTCCTGAGTGACCTTCACAGCCAGGCTTGGAGGGTGCACTCATAGGCCTGCTTCCCAGAGGGGGGAAGTAAGGCCCAGAAGTTAGACAGTCAGTCCCCACATCTCACAGCAGCTACTAGGAGAGAGGACATTGTTTCTCAAAAGGAGAACTGCAGGCTGGGCATGGTGGTGCCGGCCTGTAATTCCAGCACTCAGGAGGCTGAGGCAGGAGGACTGCCACAAGTTCGAGGACAAGCTGGGATACACAGTGCATTCAAGCCTGGACTATGTATCGAGAGCCTGCCTCAAAGAAATGAAAACTTTTTATTGATCATGGAGATGACACACGCTTGTAAAAATCTCAGGGAGGACATAAAAAGAAGACACTAACAAGGGCTCGGGATGCTGGCTCAAACCCCATTGTTTTCGCGCTTGTCCCAGGGGTCTGCAGCCTGGTTAGGGTCTCTGAGAGCAGGAAGCCCACATTCTAGGCTCTCTCTGTGCATTCTCCCTGCACACCCGGGGCGCTGCCCTGGGCAAAGCCTCCCGTCTCCATGGCATGACCATGCCATGGAAGCCAAATCAGCTGCTCCTACTGGGCCTTTGGCTCATCCATATGACAGGGACACAGGGTCCCGTCATCAGCAAGGCCTGGCTGGGATCATACTTGCAATCCTCCTGCCTCAGCCTCCCAGACAGCTGGGATTACAAGCCTGTGCCACCATACCCAGCTGAAGCTTTTGGTAATGTTCAGTAACTTGACTGGTGGGCAGCATTCTGCTAATTCACAACCCACACAGCCCAGAAAGGTGCCTCTGCCTCTGGCTGGCTTTTACGTGCATGATCCAGACCATGAGAAGTTGCTTATCCCTCTCTGTGCCCCTGGTTCCTAGCTCAGCTGCTGCCCAGCGTCCGGGTCACAGCTATGGGTCATAGCAGCTCATCCCAGAGCACTCAGGAATCCCTGCAAATTCTCCACTGGCCAGGGACTCAGAAGCAGACCTACCCAACTGTGAGGAGGGTGGTATCTGACACGTCCAGGACGGAGCTGCTGCTGAAAACAGAATTTCCGGCTGCCCCCCACGCAGCTACTCCTCATTAACGATGCCTGCGGGACCCCTCCCCAGCGTTTTTGAACAACACCTTTGTGCGTGGCTCTGGCCAGGTGATAAAGGGCTTTTAAAAAATCTTGATGGGGCCCGTGTGCCCTTGTACAATTTCAAAGAAGCCGTTTCTCAGGGTCCAGGCAGCCAGGGCCCATTAGGGTGCAGATAATCAATGCTTGGGAGCAGCGGGTGCCTCCCCCGCCCCAGGCCTCCCTCCAGTGCTTGCTGGCTGCACCCTCCTGGTACTTCAGGCCAGGCCGGGAAACGGATCCCAGCGCTGCCCTTTTGTCAACCTGTAAAGTAGGCTAGAGGGGCTGAGCTGCGTACCCAGGCCGCCTGGCCTGGAAGAAGGAGAAGTGGCTTCGGGCCACCTGCTGGCCTGTGGCCAACATCTGAGAGCGCTGAGGACGTGGGTGGGGTGGGGTTGGCACCCCAGCGCGGGCCGGCTGCCCCTGAGGCTCCGGGACAGGGAGACGCTGCCCTGCGGGAGCAAGCGTCCGCCACTGACCCCTCCCTGGGGAAGCCCAACTGGGCCAGGCCAGTGTCCAGTGCTGGGGGGAGCTGCCCTGAGCCCCCGGCCAGCAGAAAGATGGTGGTGATCAGCGCCACTTCCCGTAGACATGGTGCTCTGTGTGCACTAGCGCATACTTTGGATTCCTTTGGAATATTTTCAGCTTTGCCTTGCGGTGTGCTTTGCTTTCCCTGAATGCCTGCGCTATGTCCAGTCTTCTCTGCCCCAACTCTGGCCCCGACGGTCAGTCAACAGGCTGGGGTGCAGGCAGCACCCGGGCTGTGACTCCGCCAGCGCACCTCAGAAATGTACCATCTCGACACCCTGGAAGCCACGTGTCTGATGTGTGTCCCAAGGACTAAACTGAAGGCGCCGAAGGCTGCACGAGGCCAGCCAGAGACAGCCGGTTTCCTGCAGTTCCAGCCAGCAGCTCCTGGCCCTGCCCCCGCCCCCAGAAGCACGGGCCCTGGAGTCTTTCTTACACCACAGCCCTCTGTCACACCCCCACCTGCTTACGTGGACCCCGTGATTAGGTTGGGCCACCTGGATAACTCAGGGTCACCTCCCTACCTTAGGGTCAGTGATCTTTTGTTTGTTTGCGGCTTTATTTAGTTTAGTTTAGTTTTGTTTTTGAGACAAGGTCGCCCTAAATTTCCCAGGCTGGCCTCAAACTCATGACCCTCCTGCCTCAACCTCCCAAGTGCTGGGATGACAGGTGAGCACCATCATTCAGGGCTGTATTCCTTGACTGATACTGGTTGAGCCTTGCCTACCGCAGCACACTTTTAGGCAAAGTCCCTGCTTTTATGGAGTTAACAAACAATAAACAACTAGGCGAGGCATGGTGGCCCAGCGAAGTCACGTTTCTAAATGCTCTCCTGATGGAATATTTCACCGCCCCCTTGATCCCAGCTCGGATGTTCCCGTTTCCAGCTGTGCACGCTCTCCATCCCTTAAGTCACTTAGCAGGCACCAGTGATCCGAGCACGGGGCTTGTGTTCAAGTGGCGCCTGCCCTCTTTAATAGCGGCCCCAAAGCTTACGAGTAGTGGTACTGGCGATTCAGGTACGCCAAAGGAAGCCAGGAAGTGCTTCCTTGGGATGACAAGGAGTAGTAAGTTCTTGCTGAACCAGAAAAAAATAGTGCCCCAGCATCGCTGGGAACCTCTAGTGAGGAGGAAACTCTATGGCACCATCAGGAAAGAAAGGGAAGTTCGTCCTACCACACGGTAGGCAGCAAAGCAGCGCTTCGGTAGGACAGAAGAGGCAGAGAGTACGGCGCCCAGCGCTGGACCTGGATTCAGGCACCTGCTGGGGGCCCGGAACATCCTGCCGCCCGTAGGAGAAAAGACAGCGCCTGGCCATGGCCTCTTCTGATTGTTCACCGCTTTACGGGAGAAACTGGGAAAGCCATGGTCACGAGACCACACCGACGAGCGCTCGGGAAGTGCGTGGTGATATCAGCACGGGCCCGTGGTGTGTGATACCTGTGCTCAGTGAGGGTGGGTGCACGTGCAGCTGGGCACAGGCGTGTGCGTGTGTGTGCAAGTGTCCGTGGTGTGTGACGCGTGACACACACAGCTTCCGGGTCCCCTCTCTTCCTCCAGCTTTCTCAGCATTCCGGCCCCCCGCGCCCCGAAGGCAACACGGACTGTGAGCAGAGGATTCCCACGACGCCAGCAGTCTGCCGCGCTGCACAAAGCCGCAGCACCCGATTTTCCACTCCAGGGCCCCCGGGGTGGGGGGGCCGCGCACAAATCCAGCGTGGCAGGCGACGGGCATTGTGCAGCGCGGCAGGAATGCGCCCACTAAGCCCTGGCCCCAGCTCCTCTCGGTCAGCAGGTCAGACCAGACCGTCCCTGGCAGCCACACCACGCCCCAAAGGAAGGAGCGAGGGGGTGTCCTGCTTGCCAGGCCTCACGTGAGGCCCAAGACCCCACAGAGCGTCTGGGGGTGTCGCAAGTCAACGTGGGGAGAGGACCCTTAGCAATCAGAGAGAACTCTTCCCCACACCCGGGTTCACAGCCCACCACCAGCCTGGGGAGGTCCCAGGAGGGAGGCAGACAGTACCGCCCGCCTCTTGCTGGCCATCCTGAGTATCGCTGATAATTTGTGACAGAGAAGTGAAGTTCTGCCTCGTTGAGTTTATTTTCATTACAGAAATGTTCATAGTCTTACGTGTAGGAAAAATGACACAATGAACAGCTAGAGAGGCCTCAGCCAGATTCAGCAATTATGATGATCTTTTCCCTGCTTGCTGCTTCTCGTTTTGTTTGTCCCTGCTACGGTATTTTCAACCAGAGCCCAGACCCTGGGTTGCAGCCCCTCCGTCCTTTTTATGTACCTCTCTGAAAAGCTTGCACACTTCCTTGTGGAACGTGAACTCCATTTCACAGCTGATGAGACTGGCAAGGACTTCTTGATATCACCTAAAACCTAGTCCCTTTACAAATATTCATGATTTTATTTCAAATCTATTCTTTTCTAGTTGGATGCGGTGGCGCATGCCTGTAATCCCAGCACTTGAGAGGCTGAGGCAGGAGGATTGCTGTGAGTTTAAGGGCAGCCTGGCCTACAAAGTGAGTTCAAGACCAGCCTGAACTGCATAGTGAAATCCTGTCTCAAAAAGACAAAAAAAAAAAAAAAAGGAAAAGAAAGAAAAGTTCTTTTCCATTTGATTTGTTAGAATTATGACCCCCAACCCCAATTGCACTTTTCTTTGATTGTTATTAGGCCCCTTCCCCTAACCCTCTTTCTGCACTGTTGAAACGGTGGGATGAATTCCTCTATTTTCATCTGCTAACATGGTGAGCGAGGTGAGCTGATCGTGTGAGGTCCAGCCGACCCTCCTTCACTGGAATCGCTCCAGCTTCATCACTGTCTCAGCCCAGGTGGCCTAAAAAGGAGAGTGGGGCAAAGTGTGGGTGTCACGCTTGCCCAGAGAGGTGTGGAAAAGGAAGAGCAGAAGGCGGGAGGGCTGTGGGAGGGTTGCTGGCCTTCAGAGGCAGCCTCCCCGAAGCTCCCTACTTCCCAACCCTGCCTGGGCCCAGCACCTTGGGAACCCAGCCGGTGGACCCGGACCTGGCCCTGCGGGAGGCAGGAGTGTGGGAGGACAGGCCTGGCCTCTCCAGCTGTTCATGCCTGGGGGTTTGTACCTCTGCCGGGCTCACCTGGCAAGGCTTTTCTCTTGCTGTCCTTCCCTGGCTTTGAGGCTTAGGCAGGGCCGCTGGTAAGGCGCTGCAGGTGTGCTCTCTGCCTTCCTGCTCTCTGAGTTTCTGTAAGGCAGCAACCACATGTACAGTGCTAGCTAGTCTCCCTGTCAGATGCTGGGCCTGTTACTTTCTACCTGGCCACACTTGTTTCGCCAATCTTTTTCTTTTTCATGGTTGTAAGCTTTTCTACTTTGTTTTCCTTTTTTTTTTTTTTCTTTCCTCTTTTATTCCCTGAGCCAATTTCGGCAAGTTACAATTTTTCTAATTTTTTTGTTTAATACTGTTTTGTATGAGTATTCAAATGGGCTGGCATGAGGAGACTCATACACACAAACTGACTCACCTCTTTACCCTCTGCGAACGCCCCGAGCACCCTGGGGTTCCTCCTGATTTTGTCTGTCCTCACCCCAATTAATCTGCAAGGTCTACTCACTTTATCAGATTTCTAAGGAATCAGCTACTGGCTCTGCTGGCCCGCCCCTGTGAGTTCCTTTCTATTGCAGTCATTTCTTCCCCATCTTTATATTTTCTGACTTCTATGTTTTTGGAAGTCCTGGGGTGTGTGTGAGTGCATGTGTGTGTGTGTGTGTGTGTGTGTGTGTGTGTGTTTAGACAAGGTCTCACTGTGTAGCCCAGGCTGTCCTTGAACTCACAGTGATCTTCCTGCCTCTGCTTCCCAAGTGCTGGGATTACAGTCCTGCACCACCACATCCTGCTGTCTTCAATTTTTTTTTTTTTAATGTCTTTTTGAGACAGGGTCTCACTATGCAGTTCAGGCTAGCCTTGAGCTCACTTTGTAGCCCAGGCTGGTCTCCAACTCGCAATGTTCCTCCTGCCTCAGCCTCCTGAGTGCTGGGATTACAGGCGCATGCTACCACGCCCGGCCTTCAACATTTTTTGATTTTTGTATGCTGCTATTAATTTCCTTAACTCCCAAGTGGCTATTCTGCTGTTTATTTTTTGCCTTTCTTTCAGCTCTAATGTCAGCATGTGAGCAGTGATATCCCTTTCTCACTGGACTCACCCCACAAGTTTGAGGGGTGAGCGCAGGCGCTTGGAGCTGCGGGCAGAGCTGTCACCTCCAGGTCACACCCCTTGCAATGACTGTATGCTGCGGGAAACACAGACATTTCCCGAGTGAGACTCCAGCGTGGCTCCATGACCGCAGTGACTGTCCTTGTCCTCTCTGGCCCAAATGACCAAGGCAAGGAATGGGGCTCAGGTCCTGGGCATCTGCTATACCCAGAGAAAACAGTGATTCTCAGGGGAACTGGCCCAGTGGAATGAGCAAAACTTTGAAAACCGGACAGTGTGCCTGGTCACCCCATGATCCGATCACCCGCTGTTACTGAGAGGTAGCAAACTAGAGTTGCTGTAAGCCATGAGCAGTTGGTGCATGGATGGTAGATGGATGGGTGGGTGATAGATAGAAAGATAGACAGAGATGACAAATGGATAACTGGTAGATGATAGATAATAGATAATAAGTAGTTGATAGATGACAGGTAAGTAGATGATTGGTAACAGGTGGCTAGATGACAGATATGTAGTAGGTAGATGATAGATGACTGGTCGATAATAGGGAGATAGATAATAAGTAGATGGTAAACAATAGGTAGAATGGGTAAATGACAGACCAAGGGAGCCGATAGAGGTAATAGATAATTAGGTAGATGACAGGCAATAAATAGATAGACAGATGAAGAGATCTACTTTGGGAATTGGCTCCAGTAAGCGTGTGACACAGGGTGAAGTTGGAAGGACAGGCGGCCCCCAGGGTGGCACCCGGGAAACTCATCCCAGAGGAGGTGGCCGTCCCAAGCCGAGTCTGTGCATCACCCTTCCTGGTGTGCGCCTGGCCTCTCTCTGCCTTCCCAGAGCCCATCCTCCACACACAGCAGAGGACGAGCCCTCCCTCCGGCCTAAACATCTCTGCAGTGTGCCGGAGCAGGGGCTCCTCCTCCTCTTTCCCTTCTCCTTGAAACACAAAATGAGCTGGGTGTGCGATCCACGCCTGTAATCCAGCGCTCTGGGAGGCTGAGGCAGGAGGACCACAAGTTCCAAGTTTAGCCTGGGCAGCTCAGCAACTTAACAAGAACTGTCCTGAAGAAAGGGGCAAGTGAAGAAGCTCAGGGCAAATACCACAAAAAATAAAATAAAGTGAGAACGAGCAGACGCTGGGCCAGCTTTGCAACAGAAGCATCACAGGTGCCATGCAGCCTTCTGCCACCAGGAGGTTGTCCCTGCCCAGGAGAGCAAATGCCAGGCTGGCAGCAGCAGAGGACAGTCGCTGGACGGACCTGCAATGGTGGCGGTGGCAGCTACTGGGATGCACAGCTCCAATCTGCTTCCTAACCCGCCATCAGCACTGGCTCAGCCCATGCACCGGGTGGCACAGGGGGCCGCGGCCGGAGGCGGCACGGAGCAGTCAGGGGCCTATGTGGGTACGGCACCATCCCAGGCACGGAGTGGTCCTCGTGCAGGTGGGAAGCCTCCCCACCTGCAGGCCGCATGCTCAGGCCAGCACCTGGCTCGGGCACCTGCAGCCACGAGTGGCCTTGGTGCAGCTAAGCTCTCGCCGGTCTGGCCCGGGCACCTTGCATAGCCGGCGGCTCAGGAAGGAGGGCACCACCCTCCAGAACTGGCACTGGCCTCTCCCTGCCACACTCGATGGTTAAAGCTAACACCCCGAGACCCGAGGATGGGAAGGCAGGCGCGTACCTCAATAGGAAGAGTCCAAGCCTCGTGTCTAAGTGCCCGGGAAGCAGCTGGGGGGACCACGGGCCACTTGCCAAACGCATGCAAACAAGCTGTTCCAAGCTGAATAAACACACAAGAGCAAATACTATACCTTGCATGACTCCCATCAGAGGGCCCCCAAATTGGGTCCCAAGGACCCCCAAATTGAACCCTTTAACATTTCTGCAACCTCGTCGAGCTTGGTGGGACAAACGTCCCTTGGACGGCATTGCAGCTGGTCTCCCTGGCCTGTGTGGCACGTGCTCATAAACAGCAGCACCGCACAGCGAGTTTCTGTACTTCTTACCCCTAAGGAGAAGGTGCGGGAAGGGGCCGCAGCGCCTCATGCTGTGCTCACGGGCGGAGATGGGCGCTGGATGGCTGGGGAGGAGCCCCAGGGCCGCACCGAGACCCAGGTCACCAGACCCACAACTGAGCCACCTCATTAACTCCAGGGTCCCTGCTCCCTGGGAAACATCCTGAAGAAAGCAGCGAGCAGATCACTAATGAATGCCACACGGCCCAGGACCACAATGTCCCATCATCCTCCCTGCTCCTGCCTTCAATACCAGCAGTTCACTCCAGTATTCAAGAAGGGCAAGGAGTTTCATTTCCAAGCTGGGGAAATGCTTGCCACTTTGTCCTGACTTACATCTCTGATGAATGACGCTTGCTAACCGCCTTCTTCTGCCATGGGACGGACTTCATCTCCAGGTTCAAAAATTATGCAAGGGGGCTGGGGATTTAGCTCAGCGGCAAAGCGCCTGCCTGGCAAGCGCAACGTCATGAGTTCGGTTCCTGGTACCGGAGAAAAACCAAAAAAAAAATAATAAAAAAAAATTATGCAAGAAGGCCAGCCTGAACTGTATAGCGAGACCCCGTCTCAAAAAGACACACACACAAAAATGGCCATGCATGGGGGCACACACCTGTAATCCCAGCACTCTGGAGGCTGAGCCAGGAGGATTGTTGCAAGTTTGAGGCCAGGTTGGGCTACAAAGTGAGCTCAAAGCCAGCCTGAACTGCGTAGCAAGACCCTGTCTCAAAAAGACAAAAAAAAAAAAAGAAAAATTATGCTAGAGTCAGATGTGGTGGCACATGCCTGTGATTCCAGCACTTGGCAGGATGAGGCAGGAGGATCACTGCAATTTTGAGGCCTACATAGTGAGACCCTGGACTGCCTAGTGTGACCCTGTCTTAAAAACAAAAAATTAAGTTAGGCCGAAGTCCATGCCAAGCACGTGTCAGAGCTGCATGCACTGCCCAAGCCCTTGTGGCTGAGAAGCAGTACCAGAGGGCCAGGAATACAGCTCAGGGCATGGCACCTGCCTGGCAAGCATCAGGTCCTGAGTTCAATTCCCAGTTCCAAAAAAAGAAGTGGTACCAGACGCCCAGGTCTAACGGCAAGAAAACCTCAACCCACCCACCCCCTAGAATGCACTCCTATTCCATCTTCCTGCGGTATGAAACTCCTTTCACGGATGAAGAAAAGTAAATGTCAGACACATGACTATTCAGAAGCCATCCAGGAAAGGACGATGTGGCAGAGCAGCGAGGCAGAAATATCAATCTGCTCGTTTCTCTCCCAGGCCTGCCCGTCTGCCGTGAGATCCTGGCACCGAAGCATGGGATTATTACACCAGGCAGAGAATGCTCCTCAGGTTCCCATGCGTGCTCATTTACATAGCTGGGATGGACACGTGGCTCTTTGCAACCTGCCAGCTCCACAGGGACCTGATCCCAGGTCCATCGCAGACCCCTCCCACCTCTCCGGCTCTCAGCATGGCCAAGCTCTGCCCCGACATTGCTCAGACCGAAGTCTTCATGGGACAGGACCTCAGAAACCCCTTCCGCATCGCTCCACCTCTTTCCTGTGTCAGCTGTTCACGCCGCCTTACACCTCAGCACTTGAATATTCATGCTCACCTTTAAAGTTCACTTCCTCCTCCTACCTTCCAGCTTGTTTCACGACCAACAATCCACTCCTTGGCATATGCTGGCATCTTCCCTGCCAACTCCGCTCAATCCCTTCCTGGCAAGGATCCCTACACTTGCACCGTTCCTATTTTCTCATGATTCTTGGCCATTGGCATTGCTGCAAAAGCTCAGCTGTGTGTCTTTGGTCTCTTAAGTTACAAGGGCCTCCCAGCTCCGCTGACATTTCCTTACTAAGAGGAGTTTCCACGGGAACAGTGGGAAGCGCTGAACTCTTTTTATGTCTTCGCAGTGCAATTAAAGCCAAGGTCACAAAAGGACAAATTTAAAAGTTGAGACACACTAGCTAGGTATCCAAACTACTCAGGAGGCAGGTGCTGGATGATCACCAGTTTGAACTTAGCAAGAGCCCATCTCAAAAATAAAAAAATAAAGAGAGCTAGGGATGTAGCTCAGTAGCCCCTAGGTTCAATCTCTTGTGTGGCAAAACACACACACGCACACACACGCGCACACACACACACACCAGGGAACAGCAGAGGCACCTCTATTGGAATACTGTGATGCTACTAATACCTTGGGTCAGGTCAGTTTTTGTAGCAAATTGAATTCTAGCATCAAATTTACCAAAGAAACAACTTCCTGTTTTCAGAGCTTGACATTTTTTGGAATTGCAGGTTAAGATCTGTGGACCTGTTCTACCAGGAAACAATGAGAAGACAGAACTGAGGTCCTCGAGCACCCACAGCTGGGCAGGAGAGACAGACCAGAGGTGGGACAATGCCTCTGTGCTCAGGGCCCTGGGAGCCACAGAGGGCCCACAGGAAGTAACCGCATCAGATCTGTATCCGCTCCAGAGCGCCCCATTGTCACCTAGAGAGGGGGAAAGCGGCCAGGCACAGTGGGGCACACCTGTAATCCCAGCTACTCAGAAGGCTGAGATGGGAGGACCTTGAGTCTCAGCCCAGCCCGGGAAACTTAGCAAGACACTATCTCAAAATAAATCAGCAGAAAGGACTGGGGACGTAGCTTAGCATTCCCAAGGCTCGGTCCCCAGTATCAGAAGAAAAGGACGGTGAGTAGCAGCAGACACACTGCTGCTGAACAAAGGTGCGCTGAGGACCAGCCCAGAGGAGAAAGCGGGCAGAGAGGTTGAGAGGAACCAAGGATCCACTGTTGCTGCCACTCCTGTTCGGTGCGGGGTATGAAAGCCTGGCAAAAGAATTTGCCAGCATTCAAAGAATGCAGGGAGGTGAAGGGTTGATGGATACACTGCAAGACAGTAGCAAGTCCAAGAGAAGACCACCCCGTCAGGGTGAGAGACTGCGGCTTTCATAAGGATGTGAGAGAAGCAGTCCGCACTCTGTTCGTCCCACAGGAGCAGCTGTGTTAAGTCCCACATTACAGGGGCCCTTTCGTCACTGTTCGCTCCCCTGGCGCTCACAGAACTCACAGGCCGGCACCAGCCCCAAGTTAATGGTCACAGGCCATTGCGGAGTCTGTGTTCCACATCAAAGTCATGCTTCTGTGTGCTCTGACATGTAGGGCAGCCTGAGCAAACATCATGGCTGCTAGGCACACACCGGGGAGAAGAGCAGGACGGGCAAGAGGCTGGGTTTACTGTCACTGCTGCGACTGCAGAGGAGCTCATTTCCAACCTGCTCAGCCTCCACAGAGGTGAGAGCTGGAAAGCCAAGGAGGACCCAGGTGAGCGGCCACTAAACGCTGGAGTGGAAGGTCCAGAGGGTGAAAAAGTGAGATCAAGTGGAGATAAGTTGGGCTCCACGTGTCCAGCAGACTTCTAAGTGGAGAGCTGTCTTTCCAGGTCGTGTCTGAGCACGTGCCCCAGCGTTAGTCATCACAGTGTTGCCCCCACGTATCAGGATGGATGGGTGGGTGGCCAGGTGCGTGGCCAGCAGGACTGGTAGACAAATGAGGATGGATGCACGGATGGATGGATGGATGGGTGGATGGATGGGTCGGCAGACAGAAGGAAAGATGGGTGATTATGGAGGGATGGAAAGATGAGTGGATAAAAGGAGGGAAAGATGGATAGATGAAAGGAAGGGTAGATGAACGGATGGACAGGTGAGGGGCAGAGTAAACAGACAGACAGATGGAGGACAGATGGGTGGACAGTGCAGGTGGCCCTGGTCTGGTCATCTACCCCAGCTGTATTCACCAGACTAATTGCTCCTGAAAGCCTTCTATTTCTGTTCAGTTCCCACCAACAGCCCTCACCCCTGCCTTCCTCCAGGGATCCAGAGCCAAGCCCCCTCTGCCAGTCTCCAACTTCCAGGCTGACATCTTTCCTGGACTGTCCATCTGTTGGCCTGGCATCTGTCTGTCCAGTCTTTGGCCTTGCCTTTCAGCCCCAACCCTGCTCTTTCCGCGAGGTCTCCCGTTTGCTGGTCAGCCACCCATCCCGGATCGCAGAGACCCCGTGGCCAAGAGTACGGCCGTCCTGACAAAATCCTTTAAGCTAAGATGACCCAGGGACCCGCCCACAGCCGGGGCTCGATGTGTGCAGAGACGAAAGGACCTGGCTCTGTCCCTCTGAATTGCACTCGGGCTGGAAATCAGGTAACCAGGATGGGTTGGCGACTGTGGGAACCAGAGAACGACCCCGTGGAGTAAGCCCAGCGGGTGGAGCAGGACCCCTCCCAGAAGCAGGTCCCTGGACCTCCAAACAGGCCACTCGGGGGCCTTGGGTGGCCCGCAGCAAGCATGCGGGGAGGGCTGGGGATCCCACCCGGCAGGGGTGCGGAGGGCGGAGGGGGCAGGGTTTAAGAGTCCCAGCCGGCCGGGGCGTACGGGACAAGGGGAGACGAAACCGCTGTGTAGGACCCGCAGAGCTGAGCACAAGCAAAGGTCGCCAGTAGGGAGCGCCCGGGAGCCCGCGTCCTGCGGGGCGGAGCCTGAGCGCGCACTGCGTCCCGCCCACGCGCCGACAATGCCTCTCCCGATTGGCTAGCGCCGCTACGTCGGGGTGGAGAGAGCGTCGTCGCGTCCGGTGACGTCTCCCGCGGGCGTCGGCAGGGTCGGCGGCGTCGGCGGCGGTGTCGGCGGCCGCAGCGGTGGGAAATGGCGGAGTATTTGGCCTCCATCTTCGGCACCGAAAAAGACAAGTGAGTGAGGGCCGCCCCACGGAGCGCGGCCCGGGCGGCGGGCGGGAGGCCCGGGCGAAGCGGGAGGGCACAGCGGGAAGGAGCGGCGGCCGTTCCGGCC